TACAGCAGGGCATGCAAATTCGGTCCATTTTTTTGGCCCAGACAAAAACTGCACCCAGGCTGAATGTAAATGTAACTCTCTGTAAATCCACTCTCTGACACTAGGTGGCGCTTTTGGAACAGTAGAATTACAGCTGTTTCCCGTAACCTCCGAGGACAAAACAGCATTGCGCTTAAAACACTACTTTAGGTATTACATGGAGTGAAGACGAAAAACAAAATGCCATCAAATAATTTCTGAAGACAGTCAGAATCTTCAGAGGTTCATTCTTATAATTAATTCATCCATATATTCATTTGTATAATTCCCTTAGCACTCTTCAAAACCTCCCAGCTTTTCCTCCATGTTTTCACACAAAACTAAACCACTCTGCTGCTGTGCGCACGTGAGACTGTTACTTAAATCTGTGTTTTATGCTTCAGGGCTCCAGACTCATTCTTCCCACTGGTCGCTCTTTTTATTTTTTGTGATTAATGCATGCTGATGAACTTTTATCATAGTTTATAGTTATATGAAAACGTAAGTGGTTAACATTCAACCCTTTCTTTTTCATCAGTATTATTTGTGATTTAAATTTTGTGAAATGGGAGTTCCTCTTTTGCTGTGTTATAAGCCAGGCTTCGGGTGCTTTCACTTTTGAATTTGCGATCTTGGTGTCACGTTTTACAAGAAAAGATAATTGTTTGTTTTGCTTGTTTGGCCGGCGATAGCCATGACGTCACTACCGCCGCGACTAGTACAAAATAGGCGCCGGTAGCGCACATCATTCACCTTCTTCATCTTCACTGTGAAGTCTGTTTGAAGCGTACATTCCAAAAGCAAAGTAAGAGCTTTTCTCTCCTACTATGGCGAGCACTAGCGAAGCATTTAGAAAGTGTGTACATCAGTGTCAGCGGTTTCTGACACCCGATGATTCACACGATTTATGCATTGTTTGTTTGGGCGAGGAGCACGCACGCGATGTCCTCGAGGGGGAAATCTGTGTGCATTGTGAGAGCTTTTTTCTGAAGAAGCTCCACTCTCGTTTGTCTCTCTTCTCGAGGGGAGAGGGACAACCATCGGTTTCCCGCGGTTCAGGACCCGCCGCTGCTGAGGCACGGAGGAGAATGAGCTCGTGGGGATCTCAGGTGGACCTAGCCGACGAGGCTGAAGGGGGGGTTCCCCTCTTCCGCGCATCGGTGTCGGGCGAGAGACAGCCACTGGACGATGATATCCTCTCTCTAATATCCTCTGATCCAGGGGCCAGTGCTCAGTTGGGCCCAGCTCAACAAGAGCAGGAAATGGATGTGGAGAGTAAAGAAGCTGAGGCTGAGAATCCACCTGCCCTGCATATGATGAGCTGTTAGAGGTAATGGATCGGGCCACGGCAAGGCT